CCCGAACACCCTAAGCCCTGAAACCCTAAACCCTGGGTTTCCCGGAAATAAACCTACAGTCTCAATTAGGCCTTAGGGTTTGGGGTTCAGGGTTTAGGGTTTGGGGTTCAGGGTTTAGGGTTTGGGATTCAGGGTTCAGGGTTTAGGATTTAGGGTTTAGGGTCTAGGTGGCACGTTGCGACAACTCTTTTCCTTTCTGGTCTTGCTGAAGTAATGTAGAAGCCTAAGTAATTACCTATACTATTTTGGGGTTCCTTACCCTATACTAACTATTAAGGCCCCTACATTATGTATGAACAGTTTGGGCATGACAGGTTTTCCGGGTTCCATTTGTCACGGTTTCGTGCGAGGACCTAGCACGGTTTAGGGTTTAGGGTTTAGGGTTTAGCCTAGGAGAAAAAGGCCCTAGCTTAAAATTAGCCTCTTTGCCCTTCGGTGTTCGAGGATTTTGCTGCGTGTTGAAAGGGATGCCCAAAAAACAGTCTTTTGCCTTCCTTCGTCGGGGACCAAGTAACCCGTACAAATTATGGGATACTTTGCAGCTGATGCAACTTTTGATACTCGTATTCGGTCAAAAAATACACTACCTACTTTGCTGATTATTGTATACAAAAAAGTTCCACAGGGACCATTCACATAATATCGTCCTTTCGGAGACCATTTCAGCTTCCATATGTTGTTCAAGGATCGTACGCTTCAGGACGTAAGCCCAAAACCCCTGAAGCCCTTAAGCCATAATCCCTAAACCCTAAACCCTTGAACCCTGAAACTGAATCCCTAAGCCACTGATTCTTACTGGGGTTTAGGGTGTAGGGTTTAGGGTAAACCCTAATCCCCTAGACCGTAAACCCTGAACCCTAAACCTAAACCCTAAACCCTGAACCCGGAACCACAAAGCAGGTACATCCGTGGCAGCAATGACGCGCTGAAAGACCTGACCCACCAGGAGTGCCGAGTCCGGTAGGCCCGAAGGTTTTGTAGCCGGGGTCAGGGTTTAGGGTTCAGGGTTCAGGGTTTAGGGTTCAGGGTTTACGGTCTAGGGGTTTAGGGTTTAGGGTTCAGGGTTCAGGGTTTACGGTCTAGGGGTTTAGGGTTTAGGGTTTAGGGTTTAGGGTTCAGGATTAAGGGTTTAGGGTTCAGGGTTCAGGGTTTAGGGTTGAGGGTTTGGGGTTTAGGATTTCGGTCTAGGGGTCTAGGGGTTTAGGGTTTAGGGTTCAGGGTTTAGGGTTTAGGGTTCAGGGTTTAGGGTTTAGGGTTTACGGTCTAAGGGTTTAGGGTTTAGGGTTTCGGTCTGCATGGCAATGTAGGAAAACTGATTAAGAATCCCTGGCCCCCAAAAAACTCCAAAATAGTAGGGTTCAAATAAAGAACCCAGATAACGACCCTGGGTTGCTTAACTGGGTTCTGGAGTACCATACTTGAATACTTTTTTTTGGGACCTGTTCCTTAAGAGGACCATTATGAAATTGAGGTCTATACTGTTTTCTCCCTGGTTACTTCAAAGTCTAGTTTTTTAGTGCGGAAGGTCGGAGGGTCGGGGTTTCGGGGTTGAGATGAGGGCCACGATTTTGCAGGATCTCCCGCAGCTTTCCAAGGTTTAGGGTTTCGAGTTCTGGGTTTAGGTTTCAGGGTATCGAGTTTAGGGTTTAGGGTTTCGAGTTCAGGCTTTAGGTTTTAGGGTTTCGAGTTTAGGGTTTAGGGTTTGAAGGTTCCACTTTCGCGCCGTTGATGTGTCCGCTCGAGCCCCCGGGTCTAGCAATCTAGGGTCAATCGCCAGAGTGCCCAATTTGTGAACCATTTTAGCATGCCTCAGCAGGGTGTTTTATAGAGTCCAAACCTGTATCATATCTTGGCCCGAGAACTCCCTTTACAGGAACTCTAGAACTCCCTTTAAAGGAACCCTAGATCCCTTTTGTTTTCAGGTTTAGCCCGAAACGACCCAACACTCCCTAAACCCTAAACCCTAAACCCTAAACCCTAAATCCTCCGAGCACAGGACGTGATGCACAAGCGGGTCCCGAGCTGAGGCTGAAAATAATTACCTATCATAACCTACCAAAACCCACTTTTCGTAGGTTCTTATTATAAACCCTAATATGGGATTTATAGGGACCCTACAAAAAAGTAGGTTCTGGTGGGTTAAGGTATACTATTGTCCGGGGTTCCTTATTCGAACTATAGTATAATCTACCCCCAACCCTATTCTAATTATTAAGGCCCCTACATTCAAGGGTTCCGCAGGGTTTATTGTTGAAGGGCTTAGGGTTTACGGGTTTATGGATTAAGGGTTTAGCGTTTTTTGTACTTCAAGGATCAGAGGACTTACGCTAAGGCTCCATGTACCTATGTAGTATATACTTAGGCCCTAAAAGGGGTTCGCAGATAGGTATTGAAGGCTTAAGTACATACTGTAAATGGAGCCTTCGGCTTGGTAAGCATTGTATCAGTCAACCATGGTCAACCTATTTGTACGAGAACCGAGTAAGGGTAATGGAGGGACCTTAACGATCAGAATAGGGTTTTGGGAGGGTCCTTTCAAAAGTTATAGTATAAGTCTAACCAACCCCCAAACCCTATTCTAATTGTTAAGGCCCCTGTATTAGCTAGAACTCTGCGATAACCTGCTTACTAAGTCCCTGACCCTCTAAGTAATACTCCTCACTCACAGGCATCAAAAATCCATGATTTAGATATGTTGCTGAATTTCATGGTCTTGCGTTTTGCGGGCTACATAGTCAACCTGACAAGCACTTGAAAACCCCAAACCCTAAACCAAAACATCTTAAAAGCTCTAAGCAAAAAACACCAAATCCGAAACCCAAGACCCTAAACCCTCCACCCTAAACCCCAAACCCCTAAACCCAAACCCCAAGCACATGCTTAGGTTTGCAGCTTCGCTGCCTATGAACTGCATCTGCCCGGGGGCGCGACTCGGTTCAAAGGTTGCCTGAAGGGGTACCCAGAGATCCCAACACCCCTTAAGCAGGTAGTATACCTTCAATCATAATATTAAGCCCGCCACAATTTAAGGTCTATTCCCCACTTAAGAGATATTGGGCTCTCTGGGTACACGCTGTGTCGTTGAAGGTTTTCGGCTTTTGGGGGGTTCAGGGCTTGATGGCAAACGGGATTTAGGGCTGAAGGGCTTTCGAGCTTTAGGTTTACTTGAGGGTCTGCGAAGGGCTTGACAGGTACTTGTGAGGATACTTAGAATTCACACCATAGCGACCGATAGAGGTTTGGGCAGATGGGGAGTATAGGGGTCGTACACCTGTCTGGGCTTCCAGATAGAGTGGGCTGTCAGGTTTTCTTGCTGACACCGTGGCCTAGGGAGACAGGGAGGGATAGGCTTTCGGGCCACCAAGAGACGAATACCCCTAACCCCTAAACCCTAAACCCTTAAGTAAGCAGTATGCCTCGTTAAATCACACCAAGGATCCTTGACTTTACGGGGTGTTAGGGATTTGGGTTTTGGGTTTAGGGTTTAGGGTTTAGGGTTTAGGGTTTAGGGTTTAGGGTTTAGGGTTTAGGGTTTAGGGGGTTTAGTAAGGTTTCTACACTACACGCTGTACTCAGAAACTCGATTCTGGATCAACGCCATAAGTCGCGACAATTGGTTTGCCAGGTTAGGGAGTCTGCATAGGCAGCACATGGGTAGTTCTCTAAATTAGGGTCCCTTTTCAGGTCCTCAATATAGTACGGCACCCTTATAAAAAGGACCCCAAAAGGGACCGTAATTTAGAGAACTACCTACATGCATGGAATAGATGGTTAGGCACAGCTGCCCCTGACTTCCAGATCCCTTGTATTAGGAGGTTACACGTTAAGCAAATTCTGTAGATAGTTTTTTTTTTGTTGGGTTCGGTGTTCTTGAGTCTAAAGATATGAGATTTTGGGCTCAGTGTGTGTGTTTCTTGCAGGGGTTTGCACTTAAAGGTTGAGGAGCTTTGGGTGTTGTAGCGTCTGCTTGGGGCGCCCGAAGTTTCAGTTTAGGGTTTAGGTTTAGGGCCTAAGGGGCCATGTTCAGAAGTTTGGGCCCGAATCAAAATGTGCTCAACGTTTCTGTCTTGGGGCATTGCGCGCAGGGCTGAGCTGAGAGGAGGAGTCACGCGCCAACGCTCAAGGTTGAAACTCACAAAACTTGCTGGCTTTCAAGGGGGCGAAATTCCAGCATAACCCGAAAACCCGAAAAAAAAACCTAAAACCCTAAACCCATGCACAAATCACCCCGCGCACTCGAAGTGGGTTGTGCTGAAAACGAGAACCAAAAGGATCCAACTATGTATCCTGAATAGATGGTGGTGGTGGTAGTGGTAAGTAGTAAGTAGCAGAAGTAGTAGGAGTAGTAAGTAGAAGTACGTAGTAGTAGTAGCAGTAGTAGTAGTAGTAGTAGTAGCAGTAGTAGCAGTAGAAGAAGTCCCAGGAGGAGGAGGAGGGCGAGGAGGATGCTGATTGCCAGGATCCTACACGAAGAAGTCTACGACTTCCCCAACCCCTAAAAGCAGCGCAACGCCCCTAAACCCTAAAGCCTAAACCCTAAAAAAACAGCCACTGTGCCCAGGTACGCCGCGAAGGTGCCATGATTCGCGAGAATGGGCCGGAGACTTTGAATAACTTCCGCTTGAGAAGGTGTAGTTGTTGGTTTTGGCTTTAGGGCTTTAGGGTTTTGGCTTCAGGGTTTTAGGGTTTTGGCTTCAGGGTTTTTGGGTTTTGGCTTCAGGGTTTTAGGGTTTAGGGTTTAGGGTTTAGTTGTTGGTTTTGGCTTCAACTTCGCAGCTGGGCAGATAGCCGTTAAGCTTATTGGAGTCTGTATCATCTTGAATTGCATAGCTAATTACAGGCTTAACTTCCGTGGTGAGAGAACTCAACCACTAATGTAAACCACCTTTCTGGTTCTCATGCAGATGCCTAGAAGAGTCGCTGCAATGGAGTGTAGAGGTAGACACCTGCTCAAGAAACCCCCGTGACCTGACAGAGGTTACAGTACGGGTCCCGATATCACGCCCTCTTTAACAAGGTTCTTCGTGTTTCAGTGACTACTTTCTGTTTGTATGTGAGATTTTCGCAGCTACGCAAAGGGAGTGAGTTTGTTTTTCAGGTGTCTTCATAACATGCCACAGCCCAAGAACATCCGATTTAGGTTGGGCACTGCCCCCACTCAGTAGCAGTTGGATAATATTATTAGGCCCTTAATAGTAGCCCTATTACAGACTGTTACTGTTTTAGGGTTTAGGCAGCTTCTCGGCTCTAATGTTCAACTTAAACAAGGGTTTAGGGGTTTAAGGGTTAAGCTAGTGGTCCCAACTCTAGGACATTTTCAGGTGGGCAGTTACCGTTATAGGAGCCTGATAGAAGGTCTAGATACCTTATGGAAGCCTCGTAGAAGCCCTATATACCTGAACTCCACACCTGTAGTTTACTCTAAAGCGCAAGGAGGAGGCAACCCCAAGCTCGAAAACCTAATCCCTGGACCCCAAAACCTAAACACTAGATCATGAAACCATTCCAAAACCTAAACACAAAGCCCTACACCCCTAAACCCCGTACCCGCACGTAGCTCTTTAGGTTTTGGTCTGCCAGCACCCTCCGTGGCGGCAAGTGCCGGTGGCTGCGCGCAGCGCAGAACCTCAAGGACCGGTTTAGGGTTTAGGGTTTGGGGGTTTAGGGTATTTGGAGAGTCGGGTAGAGAGCGGCCAATCAGGGTTCCTTGTTGGGATCTATAGAGGTTTATAAGAGTTCTATAATAAGGGTTCTATAGGGTTCGATCCTTAAACCCTAAACCCTAAACCCCTAAACCCTAAACCCGGTTCTATAGGGTTCGATGTAGGGGTCAGTGTAACTAGTGATAAAACATTGATTATACCGTGTACCCACAAGCTTATTCTTGTGATCAAGGTCTCTGTATTAGTGTTTAGGGTTTAGGGTTTAGGGTTTAGGGTTTACGGT